AACATAGCCATTACACTAACTGCCGGTCCATCCTTGCATGATTTTCAAGCTCCCAGGTCGGGGACACGAACTGCACTCGGCCATATGGGATTCCAGCACCTCCACCACTATGCCACCTGCTGGCCCCACGCCTGCTCTGAACCGCCGCTTAGGGACAGCTCTGGGGGTCACTCACCTGTGGTCAGCGCCCTGGTACTGGGCAGGCGGCAAGCCCACGAACATGTTCTCATAGTCGGGCGTGGAGGGCCTGTTCGGGCTGGGGACTTGAGGCTTGGCACCCTGTCCCCGGCTGCTATACCGGGGCTGCCAGGCTGTGCCAATCCTGGGACCGTCATGAGCAGCACAGGCTTTGCGTAAGTCCTGGTTCCGGGCAGCTCGTCGTCTCCGAAGTCGCCAGGCCAGCACCGGACCAACCACAGCGATCACAAGTAGCAGGACCCCGCCAGTCACCACGGCCCCAATGGTGGCTGGCCGCAGGAGGGGACCACAGCCATCCTCCAGGAAGGTGGAGAGGTTCCCCCAGCCACCTGCGTGCAGACACTGCGGGGACAAGGACGACTGGTCTGAACAATTGTCCCTCCGGACTTTGTACCAAGCCTTCAGGACGCAGCTGCAGTCGGCCCTGAGGTCCAGCTCACAGCGAGCACCCAGGTCCGCGTCCACACTGACCAGCGGGTTGTCTACCACGTGCAAGACTTGCAGCTTCTCCAGGTGGACGAAGAAGGACAGAGGGAGCTGTTGCAGGTGGTTCCGAGACAGATCGAGGACCCGCAAGTTGCTAGCTCGCAAAGACAGATTCTGGGGCAGGGTCCGACCTTGGCCGCTGAAATTCAAGCAGACGTCCTCCTTAAAGTCCTCGGTCCATGTCACATTCTCCGAGGGCGCTTTGCAGGGTTCCTGGCTGCCTGGGTCCAGCAGCAGTAGCGGCAAGAACAGCATCCACACCAAGCTGCCCTCCATGCAAGCGACCTAGGTAGACACCCCCGGAATCTGCAACCTGACCTCAGCCCTGTGGTCACCCTCGCCGCCCGTGTTTATTATTCTTATTCTATTTGTACAGCTCAGGCAGCTTCTGCAATGGCAAAACCCAACCCCTCGACTTGTCACCCCGTCCTTAGTTGGCTCTGGCGCCCAGCCTTAGTCTCTCCCTTCTGGAAAATGGGTGCTTAACTCCCAGAGCCTGGAGGAGGCTTGTAATGCAGTGGGGAGATCTAGCTCAGCCAGCCAGATAGCCCCGCCCCTTGAACACGGTAAGCGCCCTCATTGGCTAAGACGGGGCGATATGCAAATGAGAGGTTGCCTCGGAAACGGCCCCGCCTGGATTTTTTTTTTTTTTTTTTTTTTTT